AACCTTCTACACTGTTCACCCACGCAAATTTTCTCTGATGGAGTGAATCTCAGGAAATGACTTCAGCTGTAATTTAAAACTGTGGGTGGGGGTTTCGGGGTGTGTGGGTTTTTTTGGTTTTTTTTTTGGCTCCTTGGTCTCCTGAATCTCCTCTTATTGTTCTTCAGGCTCTACAGGGCTGACTCATTTTACTGTTTTTACATATGGAAACTGTTTAAATTTGTGAAATCAAATCATAATAGAGAAAATGTTTTAGGGAGCTCTATAACTGATTTTATTGAACACTTTCCCCTTCTCCAAATTTGGAGAAATTTGAAAATTTGAGAAATTCTAAACTTAATTTAGCATTATTGAATTTCATTGAAGGGACAAGTCACAATTAACCAACTAACCTGTAATGAGATCCTGAATCCAGATTGCTGGCAAGGAAAATGGCCCAGATTAATCTTGATCAAGATCTTGATCTTAATATTGAAGGAAGTAAAAGTTATTCTTTTAATAATTGTAGAAATAATTGTAGAAATGTAATGTCATTATATGAAACTGTCTCTTTAGTACAAATGGTAATCAGCAAAGATAATTAATTATGACCAAATGTTTACTGTTTCCTGCCTAAAAGTCCTCTGGACACAGGAACTTACACTTTGAGTAGAAATCCTACTATCAAAGAGGGGGATTTTGACCTTAGGTGAAAATTACAAATAAACAAGATAACAGCAGATGGGTGGAAGAGGTAAGGATGACTAAGTACAACTTCAAAGGACATTATAAAGATGAAAGAGCTTCTTAGATGTGGCATGCATTGAGGAGCTATAAGATGCAGAGTTTGAAACCAGGCCAGGGTGCTCCTGGAAATCCAGTCCATAGGGAAGGGTTCAGGAGGCCCGTTTGCAAACGCTCCTCTCTTCTATATTTCTTTTCTTTTCTTTTTATTCTTTGTATGTTATTCTCCAATAAACCTTTGTTTTGTTAACCAGACTTGTCTTCGTATTGTGAGTATCAAAATTTGGGTTTTTTTACATCTCACAATATTGATCAAGATTAGTACTGTTAGAGGAAAGAATAAAAACATTTATAAAATCTCTATACAAAGATTATATAAAGACTATATAAAGAATATAAAGATGTATAAAATATATATTTGATCAGGGTTAAAATAAAATCAACATTTTTTGGATTTATGATTGGACAAAGTCGGTGTTATGGGAAGAGATGAATTATGTCTAATTTCATAAAGGGTAGGAAGGTATTAATTTGCCTGTACTTGTTGCAAGGAAGATCAAGAGTCACTTCTTTAAACATTCTTTTTCTATTTTTTCTAGTCTTCTAACATTTGAAGAGGGTATGAACTTATGCTCCATAGCACCCAGAAGTAGCATAAGAATCAATGGTTGGAAGCTTTAAAAAAAGGAGATCCAAATTTTAAATAGGGAGCTTCTTGATTGTGTGAGCTATTAAGTAGAGGAACATTCTACCTTCTGGAATCATGTCTATATCATCATTTTACAAACAAAATTAGCCAGGTCTGGGATGGTATGCAAATTCCTGTCTTGGACAGGAGGCTGTGTTGTCCCCAGTTAGGGTCTGAGTCTAGTGCTGAAGCCGATGAAGAACACCAGACACCAGGTGCAGGTTTTGTTTCCTTTTATTGAAGTGCTCCAAGAAAAGGGGTCCTGGACAAAATGCCAAGGATCCCTGAAAAATAGAATTAAGAGAGGTTTTATACACTTTCGCTAAAGCAGGGATAAGCAGGATATATAAGAAATACCACCTTATAAACATTTTATTAATGTTCTAACAATTATTCTATTGATCTCCAGCTGTCCCTATTCTTTCTTTCTTTCTTTCTTTCTTTCTTTCTTTCTTTCTTTCTTTCTTTCTTTCTTTCTTTCTTTCTTTCTTTCTTTCTTTCTTTCTTTCTTTCTTTCTTCTTTCTTTTGACTCCTTGGCCTCCTGAATCTTCTCTTATTGTTCTTCAGGCCCTACAGGGCTGACTCATTTTACTGTTTTTACATATGGAAACTGTTTAAATTTGTGAAATCAAATCATAACAGAGAAAATGTTTTAGGAAGTTGTATAATTGATTTCATGAATACTTTCACCTTCTCCAAATTTGGAGAAATTTGAAAATTTGAGAAATTCTAAATTTAATTTAGCATTATTGAATTTCATTACAAAATTGAAGGGACAAGTCAAATGTCTGCCAAAAGGACAAGTCACTACTAACCAACTAACCTGTAATGAGATCCTGAATCCAGATTGTTGGCAAGGAAAATGGTCCAGATTAAGATCTTGATCTTTGGCTAATGAATGCTTCAGGAGTTAGCTAATAAACATTCTATTTGCTTCAGGCCATCTCTATTCTTAACTTCTAGCTGAGCTATACAAAATGCCTAACTCTTTGTTAATGTTTATCAGCTTTCTAGCCACCCAGAATTGTTACAAGCTTTACATGTGCATATTCTCTGTAAATAAACATTCTTTGTTTTTACCAGACAGACTACACCCATGGTGGCGAACCTATGGCACGGGTGCCAGAGGCGGCACTCAGAGCCCTCTCTGTGGGCACACACGCCATCGCCCCAGTTCTAGGCCTTCAGCTGGGTTTTATAAAACCTTTTCGCTTTAGGCCTCCACTGCCGTGTGCAAAAAAAAAAAAAGGTTCAATCAATCAATCAATTTCAACTTCTTGCGGGGAAAAAAAGATCTCACAAAGTTGGAATTGATTGATTGAACTTTTTAGTCCCACCCAGTTTGCCGTTACCACTGCAGCCATGCCCACCCAATGGGCCACGGCCACCCGGCACCCGACGATACATAAGTGGGCTTTGGGTTGCAGTCTGGGCACTCAGTCTCTAAAAGGTTCGCCATCACTGGACTATACAATTACAGGCTTCCTGGTCTCCTTTCATGTGTATGCCATAACCTTGCTTTGTTTTAGCAGCCAGCCAATTAACTGGACTAGAAAATCTTCAAAATCTCTTTCAAGCCTATAAATCTATGAACCAGTTTAACCGGATGATCTATTATTTTCACTTCTATTTGCAGTTTGTAGATCCAATTATATAACTTAATTCTAGCTCATTTGTAAACAAATCTTACAGAAGGAAAGAGATTTGGACAGATTTTATAAGTTCTGAATTGTGTACAGCCTAATATAACAACTGAAACTATGAAGAGTATAGTTAATTGTGTTGCAAATTGCCACAAGAAAATCTGGTTTTGAATGGTAACTCACAAATTTCAGAAAAAAATAACATAAATACGTGTGGTTTACAAAATATGGTTCATTTTACAGTATATTCCAAATTGTATCTTCTTACATTCCCGTGACACAAATATTATTTCCCTTTATTGCCATTTTAGCACTTACCAAAGTTGGTAACATGACTAAAAATCAATTCAGCTGTATAATTTCAACTTGCCTCAATCAATAAATTGCAGAGAGTTAAAAAGATCATCTAGATTGAATGATGAACTCAAGGACTTCCAGAAGAAGAAATGACAAATAAGGATGGCTTTGTGAAAAGTAGAACTGGTGACTGCAGTGAAGAAGAAAGAGCTGATGAATAAACCAGCTCTTTGAAATCTCTCCTAACAAGAGAAGATAGAAGATTATCCACGTGCAGTCCAAACAGTTGCTCCTTATGAAGTCATTGCAAGACAGCAGTCCCTGGTGGCTTTGGGCACTGAGAGTCATCTTGCTCAAAACCACAGTTGATGCTTTTTAAAGGACACTAAGTTTGCAATTTTTTTCCCATAAACAGATTTGGAAATTGTTTGTTAACTTCTATTAAACTATTGGAGACCTTTAGATTTACAAGTCTGAAGACACTGGGTGAATGTTCTTTCAATCCTTCATGAAATAAAATTTTAATCATAAGCATAAGAATTTAAAAAGTTTAAAACAAATAGGAAAAATAAATAAAACTTTGATCACAGAAAGTTATAAATGGATTAAGGCTCCAGATAAATTTCTAATAAGATTTTGGAAAAAATTATAAAGAATCCTTCCCATATAGGAGATAGATTTGGTTGGGCTTTACAAGACAAAATAAAGTTAAGCAGTTTTGAAAATTGAACACAAGAGGGAACTAAAGATTTTAGTTAAAGGGAAAAAATACATAAGCCTGATTAACCACTACTTAATTGGGATGTATAAAATATGTTAACATTGAAAATATTGAAGGACATTTTGGACAAATGGAATTAGAAGTTAATGTCAACAGTGTCAATAGAGATATTTGCTTCTATGGATAGACTGTGTCCAAAATATGTTTTGTAAAAAATAGCAGGCAAGGAACAAGTTCCATTTGACATGGCAGAGATGTCATGGAAAATAGATATACAAATGACAGTTTATGAGAATGAAATGGAAAAGGTTGTCACACTAGACATACAAAAGAAACTATTGATATTTTAAAAATAAAAATGGAAATACAAATAAGAAACCAAGAGAGTCACCTGGATTATTCTTTTATGGTATATTTTCTTTCTTCTTTCTTTTTTCTGTCTATTTTCTACATTCTTTTTTCTTTTCTTTTGCATCTTTCAGTCTTGCATCTTTCACTCTTTTTTCCATTCTTACTTTCTTTTAGTTTGTATTAGATTTTATTATTGTAGTTAAAATCCTTAGTAAAAGTTATAAAATTAATCATGACAACACTTAGGTCTTTACAATTGTACAAAAAATGCATTACATTTTTCATTCAAAATTGTCTCAGTGTTGTTCAAGAGAAAAAAACTGAACTAACAGTAAATATATATACCGTATCTCCAAGATCTGAACTATATTGGTTAGTAATGATATCAAAAATTGAGGATTTTTAATTACTATGACTCTACAAACTAAAGAAAACTAAAGGTGTCCAGATGCTTTAAAATTCTACAACCTGCTGTCTTCTCCCCTCTTTCTCTTCCTGATGTGAGAAACATGAAGAGGTATTTGTAAGCATGCTTCAAAGACGGAAATAAAGATAAACCCAACTGTCACACTCAAATTCTTAATCAAATATTTATTCATGAAACATACCATAATAAACATTATATGTGTCTTCAAATCATTGATTCCATAATGATCAGATAAAATCATTAGCATTACAAAAGATGGTTAATTTTTAAAAAATATATTTTTCAAAAGCAGATCAATAGCTAAACTCAGCAGAGGATCATTTAGAACTCAGGGATGCTAATCAGCATCAAATGCGTTTGCCTTCAGTATTGACTTTAAAATATTTGTGTATTGTAGGATGGTGATTTTACATGGTTTTAATCAGATTAACTCCCGCACTGTAGTGAACGCAGAACATTTTTGTACACTCAGTTAATAATTTATTAAGCCACTTGGCTGATGGGGATGGTTGCAAAACAGTGGAGGGTCTGCAGACTACACAGCTGACATCCTGCAATTATCATGGAAACACTCAGGCTATTAAACACACAAACAAAAATATTTTAAAATTTATTCTTATTGCATTTTTGTGCTTGGGCTTTTTCTGTTTTTCAGATGTAGCAGTGAGTGCACAATGTTTAATTTATTCAATTCTAGAGATTTAGTTTAAAGTAAGAAATTTAACTCTGTCTGCTGCTCAGAGTTTTTTCTGGGTTATCCTATTCTTAAATATATTTACATTTAAAGCATTCTAACATTTGGTATCAATGGAGTTTCTAAGTGTATTGTAACCAGAGTCTTTGTAAAATTGTAAAAGGCCCAAGGAGAGGGCATTCATTGGATACCCCTATATAACCATATTCTTATTGTATTATAGGTGTAATTGTTGCTGTGATTATTGTTATCAATGGTTAAAAAAAAAGAAATATATATTGTGAAACCCAAAATATGTAACTAATTTGGGATTAAATTTTAGTTGATCAATTTCATTGCCTTGAATCAGAAGACAAACGCTTTAGATTGGGGCCCCCTTCTTATGTGGACCCCAGAGCCGTTGCTTTCATTATCTTTCTTTCTCCCAGATGAAGGTCCAGGGTGCACCAGAGCTAGGGTCAGGAAGTGAAAATCCGTGGCCAGTCCTGAAATGTACTTAGACTAGCCATTAATGCTCAGCTTAAAGACATCAGAACAAGTTTGTCAAAATGAAAAAAAAAATAATGTGTTGCATGTTCCCTGAGTTCTCCAGAGAGAATACAATATGCTTAAACTTGGGTTAGTCTAATGGGGAAAAAAAAATCCTTCCATGCCCCTTTATTGAGTAACCCAGTATTTTATGAAAATGCACTGCCATTAGGATCTGTAGAATTTCTGCCTTTTATAGGAAGACAACCAAATCACATATGCAAAATTTCTGAACATCATTTCAAAACACAGTTGGTTATGTTTATAAGATTAAGAAGTTTATGGTTCAACTTGAATAAAGCTGTTTAGCTCTTAAACCAGTATATCAGACTCAGAAGTGCATAATTGGATAAGCTGTGATGAAACTGAAACAATCTGGGAAATTATCAAAATGAGTATAAGAATGTGTTTGTTGATTCCAGTCATGATTTCTCTTCAATCATTAAGGTATAATTAGTTTTCACTGATCTTCAGAGCTGTCCCAAATGAGACTATTCAGCTGGTTGGTCTGAGGAGGATACTTTAGAAGCAATGTTGTCTGACTGAAGCAGGAATGTCGTGTAAGCCATTTCAGCTTCCTCTTTAGAGCCCTAAAACGAATAGAAATCCTGGCATTATTTTAATGGAGCCTGAGGATAACGAGATGAGGAATCTAACAAAATAGTCACATGCATTTTGCAGGTATGTGATCTCAGTTCCACAAAGTTTCCAGGCAGTATGGCTGCCTTAAATACTAATAAATGTATTACAGCATAAACTTTAATGCTATAATTTGATGCTAACAGTCATCATACTTCATCCCATATGTAATTAATTCCTACAACATTAGCTATCTAGACTGCATGAGATCATTGGTTTATTTAACCCATTATTGACACTAATTAGAAACAAGTTTCAGAGGGGTTTTTTTTCAAGTTTTTTTCAGCCCAACCAGCAAAAAACCAGAACTGAACTGTTGCAGGATTCTAAGCTATGTATCTTCCAGACGACAATACTTGGTACAATATTTCAAACAATATGGCTTTAAAAAGGTTTGGGAGAAGGTTTTAGAATATCAAGTAAAATAAGATGCTAATTTTAAATTATAATGTAAAATTACATAGGAAAAGAAAATAACATGACAATCTTTTTTAAATGGTCCACCATCCATTGATTTTTGTATGCTGCTCAGAGTCCCTTCTGATGAGATGGTAGCTATGTAAATTTGATTAATAAATGAATAAATAAATCCAACTTCCAAAATCATCCCTATGATGTGATAGAAAAGCACTGTGAAACAAAAAGACATTTATTTATTTCCCTCAAAATTGAGGGAAAAAATAGCCAAAGTACTCCAAAGTACAGAAGATTCTGTAATTATGGATGAACATGAGAAAGTTTGTGCTTGACAAAGTATTGCTAAAAGAGACTAAGATATGAAAGAAGTTGATAGAGAAAAGTCCCAGCATAACATCCTAATCCAGACATGTCAAACTCGAGACGTCACATGACGTTGCGCAACGTATCGGAGCTTTTTTGCCATTGCCGGCAATGGGGTGGGCGTGGCTCCGGTATGATGAAACCGGCCCACGGGCTGGCAGTTTGACACCCCTGTCCTAATCTCTAAAAATAAATAAATAAATAATAAAATAATATAAAATAATAAATAAATAAATACAAATATAAATAATAAATCATATTAATCATTATAGTCATGTCAAAATAATATAATTTGCCCTTACCCTCTTTGTTTTCTTTGATTTTCCATCTTCCTTAGGACTGCCAGAAGTACTTGAATACTCTGAAAAGAAAGTAAGATATTCTGAGATTGAATGTGAAAAAAGAGAATTTCATGTATTCATCCATTCTATAAATGGCAAAATAATGTAACTTCATTGCTGAAGAAGTGACAATTGTATCTGGTTGATAAGCATCAAGCCACAGTTAGAATACATTTTGAATAGCATTACCATCCTTCTTTCCCATTTGGGTCTCATGAAACTCTCCCACGTTTACATTCTCCTTTGCCCCATACTGTCTCACATTCTCAAACTCTGTCATGCTGATATTTGTCCTGTAGCTTCCAACGGATACAAGATCTATAAAAAGAAAAAGAACATTTCACTATAATTCATTCCACCTTAGATTCTATATACTGTACATAATGTATTAATTCTAGGAGAGAAAAGCTGATGTAGATTGTAGACTTATTGCTGAAGACTTAGTGTGTACAGCAGAAGTATTACCGTATTTGAAACAGGTACCACAGGTCCAGCTTGGGATGAAAAGCTCACAACAGCATACTTGCATTGTTCCATTAATTATAAAGCCATAATCC